AAAGAGTGTGCACTCCATGACCAAAAGAGGTGAGATCCAAAACAGCAGCAACCAAACATGAAACCCTCCTAGGAGCACATGGGTTTAGGAGGGCTCACAGGTGAGAGAACAGATATGGGGAGGTCTAAGAAGGAACTGACACCATGACCTACACATGGTTTGTCTCTCTGCAGTGAAAAAAAAAACCCAAAGAAAAATTCTGAACTAAAATTACATTACCTATTCTTATAACAACAGACAAACAAATTGTTTACAATTACAAGCTAAAGATCAGAAATTTCCAGCTCCCTTGGAGTTCTGAATTTATGCCCAGTTGTGCTGTTTATCCATGAATCTTGATGGGATACTTTGGACTCTATGAAAACATAATACGTTTTCAAATGTTTTGTTTATAGTATATTTCACTAAACATCTCTGATGCGAGAATGTCAGTTTTCCCTACTGTCTGTTACAAGGAAACAAAAATTCCGTCATTCAAGATGCACATTTTGCATCAAGCCAGTGTATCTCTCAATGTGGTACTTTCTGAATGCATTTCTCCTTCTGAAGCCTACACAAAAAATTATTAATGAAACCAGACCTGATTATTTTTAAGTTTGCCATTTAGTGCTTAAACATAACCAAGCCTACTGCCTTAGGTACTAGCAGAAATGTATTACAAAAATGGACATAAATATGAGACATATCAAAGAAGTGCATTAGAAGCATCAAAACTGCATTATCTATAAAACAAAACCAAAGGGAAATAAAGAAACACACTCTTTTAAATGAGTTGCCTGCACTGACTGTAATTTAGATTACTTTCCTTCTAACAGTGTAAGTCTGTCTGTCTTACACGTATTTTTCAAATGATGACTACAGAGAACACTACTCTTCCAGCTGAGTCCCCTGACAAACATGCAGTCTCTGTAATATATCCAATCTACTGCCCAACCTTAAGTATGCTTCAAAATCAAAGCAGTTTTGATATGGAACACACTTTTTATGTGGGCTAAACTAAGTCAGTATTTGGCTTCACTACATGGATATAACCTTACAAAAACAGAACTTCTCATAAAGCAATAATATGCATACAGATTGAGTGACAACAACTCCCACATTTTCAAACACCTGAAATCCAAAAAGACCAGCACAGGTACTTAATTTTGAGCATGTATTCAAAAGCACCTTGAGGAGTCATACTGTAAGCTAAAAGATGACTCCAAGGATTAAAAAAAAAAAAGTAAATGAAAGCAAAGTTCAAACCATGAGACACAGAAAGCACAGACCAAATGACAGCCCAAAATCTCAGCTACAGTATTTTTAATATTTTAAACCATGTAACGATGATCCCAAGTAGAGAAAGCAACTGACTTGCACTCTGCTGCCAGGCAACCGAAGCCCAAACATCTGCTCTCCCGTGTGTTAGACCAGCATGCGTGAAACTAACATGCACAGAACCATGAGACACTGAAGTGCAAGACATCTCCACCTGGCCCATTTAATGAAGTATGGCAAATGGTTGAGCAGGTTGAATGTGTAGAAGGAATATCGAGTAATCTCTGTCACAGTCCATACGACCAGAAAAAGAATAACGCTCTCCTCATTCTGGATCTGCAGAAGTATAAAGAACCAACACTTTCTTCATCCTTAAGCTTCTTTTCTGTGCAAACTGCAACACACTTCTGTTTAAGATACATGGAACAGAACTAACATTTTGTAAAGAAAGAAAATTCTGGCATAAAAGTGATATGCTGAAACCATTACCAGGTACAGTTCTTTATCATAAGTATTTACTAACATACAGACATTCTGCAAACTGAAAAATCTTTACCCATTATGCAAATATCAAAATATAAACCCCTATAGTTAAGCTTACTCCTCCTCTTTATTCTCTACCAGCATTTTCACTATGCTATCTGTCTCCCTCTTTGTATTTGTGGTTAATTTACTTCTTTATTTTCTTACTCCTCAAAACAGCAAGAAGCAAACAATGCTACAAAAGATAAGTTCCTTTCACCATCCTTTTATACCCATTCTGCATTTCTCTACCCTGTCTCCTAGACTTTCTCTTACTTTTTATCATGCTCCTTCCTCACTGTATAATGCACGTCTCCATGAAACTTTAGACAAAAGAACTGCTCAGTATAATCTACTAACTGGAACTTGGTCACAGAAGATCAAATTTGGCAGACTTCAGAGAGCTGTAAGATGGTTAAGGAGCTGGAACACAAATGGATCACTACATGACGAGTAGTTGGTAAATCAGGAGCTTTGGGCAAACTCACGCAACAATCCCATCTAAGATTTAAGTTCTGAGTCATTAAACTGCCTCATCAGTAGGTAGCATACCTCTCTGCCATTTCAAAACATCGGTTATTTTTCACCCCAAGTGAACAAATAAACAAAAGTCCCCAAATACAAAGAAGGCACGTGGGGATCTATTACAAACACTACCTTCTGAGAAGAAGAATTACACGCAAGTAACTTGCTTTTCTTTAAAAGGGGAGGAATTTTGTAATACACTTCCATGCCTGAAGGCTGAAAAGCTCCAGGGATGTCTGTGAAATAAAGTAATACAAGTTTTGTTAAAATTACAAAAAAGGGAAACTATTTTTTTAGTAAAATGCAACATGATGACAAAGCTTAATACATCTCAAAGATGCTGAAAATACACAACTGTCAAAAGTCAAGAAGAACTGTAAGTGCTCATCATCTCATAAAATCACACCCTCGTGTCAGTCAAAGAAGGTGCACTTTTAGTGAAAGGATCTCACCAACATCACAAAAGAATATATAAAAATACCGCCAAACTCATAAAAAGCAACAACTGAAGTGCAAAGACATCTAAACAAATAAGCAAATGGAAAGACAGAATTAGGCTGTTCTTAGCCTCATGCAATTAGAGACAAACATTGATAACCCAAACTTGGATTCATGTCACAGTGCTAAATCCAAGCAGAAGAGCTTTAAATAAGTATGCAGAGAATTCCTATCTGTTGCCTTGCAAATCTCCAGTCAAGTAGAGAGATCTGGGTCTGGCTATTATCACTAACAAGCCTCTCACCACCTAAAGTGACCCTGAACATTCATGCCTGCTAAGCAGTAAGAGCGTGAAATACAATCAGACATACATTCAGATGTATTTTTTCTTGGACACAGCTACTTGGACAGACCTACTGTACTGATGACAGAGAAAACAAAAGAAATTACTGGATATGCTAAAGATTTAATCCACTGCAGATAATAACAAAATGGCAAAATGCAGTGCTATATTTCAGCATCCATGTAAATGTTCAATGTAAAAAAACTGGTAATCTTTGAGACATTTTCCCTTAAGGGAAAAATCAAAACACCTACCTTACTAAAAAAAAGAAAAAAAAAGGAAAAAAAAGTGACAGTAAAGCAAAAGATGAGGTGTAGAGAGTCCTCTGTGAAGTGCAACAAAGGGGTTTGACAACCGAGGCAGGTGCGATGACAGCCCATCAGCAGAAAGGCACATGCCATCTGCTGGTGAGACAGTTTAATGGCTCAGCTTTGTACGCTCAAAAGAAATCCAGGAGCACAGGCTCAAAATCTATCACATGCCCTGCACAGAAAGCAGACCTCAGAAACTGAACTGCATGTCCTATCTACCAGCTGTAAGCAGTCTGCTTGTTTCGTTCTGCTAACGAATCACTAGGCTTACAAAAACCACCTGCAGCCAGGCAAATGAACTACCATCATTGATACAGGACCTGAAGCATCACTGTGGCTGGGTGACTTGATATATGTTTTAATGAAAACAATGCAGTATGCATGCCATCAAATATTAATATTACCATAACATCAAAATCTTGAGAAAGTACCTAAAATAAATTGCAAAATCATAAACATGTTTAGCCAGGTGAATTCACTTTAAGACATATTTTCATTTAGATTAATTCAGTAAGTGATAATTTAAGTTTTTGAAAGGGAACCAGTAACACTGTGGTAAATAAGAGCAGTTGCCACTGATCTCACTTTGGCAGACAACGGCCGGCATGATGCTGAAGGCTGTGCTGATTCACATCTAAGACCCAGACCCAGTCTCCTGGGTAGGAGCGCAAAAATTCCATCCTGTAAGCCCAACTTCCAAATGCAAACTCAAGTAGGTTAAGTATTCTCTGAGAGAATGCCATTAATTTTTGGTCTTCCTGGTAGAATGAGAACTGTATTAACGGCTTCTCCTCAAAACCAACCGAAACACAGCTTGCTCACGCACATACCTGTTTTATACTATGTGCAATGAACCACACCATGAAGATTCTTGAACTCACTTGGACCCCAGTCACAAGCACAGATGTGCGAACTATTCCTTAAAAAGAGAAACATGTTATCTCTGTGCCACAATTCATGTTTTAATTAGTTACAAGAGAAACTAAAACAAAGAACTCACCAACTGCACAGTGGACTACCTGTAAATAAAAATAAGTTAGAGGTTACTGGTGTACAGTATGTTACTACCTATGCTACAAACACGGCCTTTTGATATGAATGTAAACCTAAGCTGAATCCTAAAGGAGAACTGGTTTTTTGTTCAACCAACAGTCTTTAAAAGAAATACACATTAGAGCCCTGGCAACTAATGCTGTGAAAGGCTCAGTATCTAGTCTTTGCAAACACATTAAAGAGATTTATTATCCTAATTAACTGCATACATTACATACTTAGATACTGACAAAGCATTTATTTTTTCAACTAACAAGCTTCCTTTCCAGTAACTTATTCAAAGAAGAATCTTACAGGACAATGTGGAGGGAGCCATATAAGCGATGCTAAACGCATAGCAATTTTTAAATGTTCTGTGTTCATTATGGATTAATAGCATTATTATAATTTTGCCAATGACAGGTATGAAGCTTCAGATGGATAGTATTTTCTGGTCAGTAATGTTTAGCAAATAGAGTGCTTTTCATTATTTTGACAGATTTGAGTATAATTACTTATGGTGAAAGTTAAATAGCATAAAAACCTATATACATCTGGCCACGTGATTTTCATAATCGCTTGAACTACAAATATTACAGGCAGATTGAGAAAGGAAGTTAAAACATAGGTAGGCCCTCTTTGTTGTGCCTGGGAAAGAACTGTAAGTGCTCAACACAACAGGTTCATTCCACAGACTACCACAAACTGAGACCATGAGTGCAGAGTTTGCAAAAATCACATTATTTAAAGAATACTTTGCATAACTTGCATAGACCCTGTTGTAACAGATTATATAGGGCATATGAATCCAGCCTGGAAATAAACAGAAGCAGGAAAGGCACAGAAGGATGATGACTGCAATGTAAAGAATAAGAGGGAAGCTATCTCTGGAGATGGAGATGAGGTATCTGTGAAGATTAAGGGTTGATCTGCTGGCTGGAATGCCTTCAGAGATTTTGCCTTTCGAGTTAAAGACTCTCAATCAAAGCAGTTCCCAGGCAGTATTTGATTTATAGAAATACTAGAATTATGTTTGAAAAAATGTGCCCATTTGTTTAAACTAGTCATCTTACCCCCAAAAAAACTTCTTTAAATAATAGAGATAAAAGGACTTCAAGTACTATATAACATTTTGATATTCGATTCAGGTTATTAACGTGTTTTGCCTATGATATGCAGCATCCAGTAAAGCAAACTAATGTTTAAAATTTACCTCAAGCAAAGCAAATGTCTGGAAAAATTTAAGCGTCTTTTGAACGCTTCTGAATAAGCCTCTATGTGTTCCTTTCTGTATATAAAACCGCACCATGGCAATACCTAATACCAGCCACCTACAAAAGAAAGAGAATGGATACATTTCAAATTAGAATTCTAAAAATATCCATCCACTGTAAATAATTTAGTAGAATAGTTTCTTCACAGAATATCTTTGCTTCTCCATTTGTCGGTGTTCTTAGGAGATTATTAAAAATATCTTTAGACATAAATATAATGTTACATAAATATTACACTCTTTTATCTCTACTTTCCCGAAAAGGATAGAGGAGTACTTGTTTACCTTCAGAGGACTGACTTGAATTGATGGGACCCACAAAACCAACGGTCCATCACACTTTTCAGTAGCAGTGACTATATATTTTTACTATTAAATCCTTAAGCATCCTTACTTTGAACTGCTGTTATTTGAAAACACATGATGAAATCGGGACTGAAGCCACCCTTTTGGGCCAAAGGTTTGTATAAGGGCTGGAACCTATGTACATGATTTTTACATTTCTCATGGCCCCTTGACTCATAGTTTTCAGAACTGACTAGTGATCTGAATGCTTCTGTTTGTGCTTGGCCAACTGAAGTGACCATTATGATTCGGTTTTCAAAAGGGTTGAGAAGTCATCTTTGAAAATCAGACTCCAAAGTGCTGAAAGACAGGTGCTCTATGCTCCTAGCTTCCATAGGCAGGTATATTTAACCAGCACGTTTGATGGCGTTAGCTCATGTTTTTGTGTTTAAGGACTGAACAATGCTACCAACTGATAGCCCTTCCAATGTAAAAAGCAAGTAAGAGTGTCTTTTCATAGAACTGGAATTTGATATAACAAATTGAGATCTCAAATGGAAACTGAGACTAACAAAATAAACTTCTAAACTCTGGTGGGTTGATCCCCACCAGCCAGCCCAGGCCCAGTACAATAACCCAAGGCGTGTGCAATTATAGTTAATCCATGTTTATATAATTAAGATTTTCAAAATAGTGTACTATATGTTCCATCGTTAATGCAGACCTATACCACATTTTTACAAACACCATGCTGGGGAGGTGCCTTAAAACTTCACCTTTCAGTCCACAAAGACTAAGGAAGTATAAAAATTCTTTAATATAGACTTATAGGCATAACAACATATTTTGAGAGTTAAAAATCAAAATACAAAAATGACAGTAACTTTAGCTTAATTTCTTGCTTGATGATATTGGAAACAATTACTCCGTGGGTTTATCCCACATAAAGCCATAGTAAACATGCTGTGCAGCGACACAAACTCTGGCTAAGGAAGGGCCCAAGTGACAAAGCAGAGGGGTCTGAGAAACAGTCAAGTGGCAGATGCAGAGAGCATATAAACATTGGGAGAAATATTTAGGTAAACATTTGGATAAACATTCAACACCTCTCCTGGTCTTACACTCTTCCCTAAGCATGAGGTACTGGCTAACACTGGAAACAGGGTAGCAGGAAAGACTGTTTGGTCAGAGCCAAATGGCATGACCATGCTTAATGGCATGAGATGTGCACGGATTGTGACAGCTCTCTGTTCGCCTCGGATGGCATGTACTTCAGTATCAGCCCACTAGCAACTCTGACACGCAGTGCCTACCGCTATGCAGGCACTTGGCGCGGCCCATTCCAGCACTTCATGACGGCATTTGAAACTCACACAGAGCTAGTCAGGCTTCCCCACGTGGTAGGAATCGTTCCCCTCCTTGATCCCTTCTACTTTAAACCCATTAATCTGACCTGCCAGAACTCCAAAATTTGACCCCACAAGTGTTACTTAGATTTTTTTAACAGATTTTAAATCTGAATGCATTAATTTGAGGTTGTCTCCCGCCACTGTGGAAATGAAGAATTACTGGAATATCGCTGGTATCCCTTCACAGTCAAGGTGCCCTGTTTTATAGTGATGTGGTTGACAACAGGACGGTGACAGTGAGTTTATTTCCAGCTGGCAGCACGAATGGTGACAGCAACAGCTCTGTCCTAGCCCTAGACTGAGAAGTCATAATACGTCTAATCTAAGAATGCGTTTTCTTCACCTCATTCTGTAACAAAAGGGTTGCGGAGAGAAGTAATCGTGGACTATGTTCAGAAGCAAAGTGCAACTATTTTTCTTAAATGTTTTTTTATTTGGACATGAATTTCTGTAAATTAATTTATTTAGTTCTCAGTGGCTTTGAGTTTGGACCTCAGGAACATCCTTGTACTGAGTACTGCAAATAACCAGGAAATGGAAAACACTTTCCATAACAAAGATAGCACTTCTGTTTGGGACTTGCAGTAAGACCAAGTACTGATCTGTCATTTCTGTCCCTTAAACCTCTGTTAGAAAGAAAGATAAGCTGCTATTTTTTATTAGAATGGTTGTTAACATGCAATGATGTATTACTTCATTAAAACTCTAGTACCCTTTGCAATAGTGCAGTCTGGACAAATATACTGTTCTCATTACTTAATTATCCTGTGTAGTTCCCCTGTTAAGTACTGCTCTATTTCCAATGGATTTTCTTTTCTTAAATTGTATCCATAAAACATTATAACAATTTGTTCCTATCTCTTATTTCTCTGTTTCCACACAAAGTATGTAATTTTGTATGTCTTTTTTTGCATGTTCCTTTTGATACTAATGGAAGATGGGAAAGAAGGAAGTGGGAGATACTGAATCAGCACCTAAGGTCAAAACTAATATGGTTCGATAATCTTCTACAGACATAGAAAAGTCAGCGGCAAGGGTCAGTGTTCATTAGCAAATTCACACATGGAGCAGGAGGTTGGGAATTCAGTGAAGTAACGTTAACCTGCCAGCTAGAAAAAAATGACACTGAGTAAAAGCACTTTTCAAAAGGTGCCGCTGCATTATACAAACAGACTTGAGTATGTGTTCAAGATTCACTGATGCTAGGGAGATGAAAGCCATTATGATTATATTCCTGGCTTTCTGCATCAGTGCTTGAACTGCTTCAAGCGCAGCGTATCAGTTTTGCTCTACGGGATTCGGATGACAGAGAGTCCACCCACTGGCAACCAAGGTAAAACTGCTCTCATGATGAATGTCACCGTAGACGTTATAAAACTGTTCATTCGTAGTTTTAAGCATGTGGAAATTAATGGGGTGGGTTTTTTTTTCCCAAGAGTTGGTGAACCGATTTTCAAGAAGTGAAAACATGTGCTTCAAACACTAACAACATAAACCTGAGTGCTCTTATGATGTGTAATACAACTAAACTACCGCCTTTCCCCGGAGCAAGCACCGCGGCGTGGGGCACGGGCTCAAGCGAGCCCCTTGGGCTGTTTCAGCTCTTTGCCGCCCCGCTCGCCCGCTGCTCATCACTAAACGGCCGCCGGCACTGGGGACCGCGCTCGGCTGTGGGAGCTT